TTGCAGCTGGAAGAGTATCCACTGCGTAAAATATATGCCGGAATAGTTTGTGGTTCATTCCACAGTGGCGACCCCTGATAGATAAGGGACTAAGCTAAAGGAAAAGGAATGAATGAATATTATGATAAATATAGCAGTGATGCAAAAACTTTACTACACAAAAAATTACTACACACCATTCATGCTTCTGTACGCCATATTTTATCTGTGCAGTTTATACAAAAGATCCAGTAAATATATTCAGTGTTCTTTAGCTACAGTTTGCGATGTTGTTGGTATTTTACTATCCTCAGGCTGGACGAGGCTGCTGTGGCTCTTCAGAAAGAGAAGAACATGTACAAGGAGATTGAGAACTACCCCACATGCTTTAAGGTGCAAAAAGTGCTGTTTTGTGTCGTGGTTATAGTTTTTTACGACAACCTCACATTGATATCATTTAATCATTCATTTTTGCGTGCCCTTTCTTATGTAGCTTTATTTTCAATTTATGTTCTGTATTGTTTTCTGTAGAAAACCATCGCTCAGGGCTAGTTCATCTGCACCGAGGAGACTTTGTGGCTGCAGACAAGTGTGTGAGAGAGAGTTACAGGTACAGACATCCAGATCGGAAGTCTCTGTGCACTGCTTTACAAACACGGCTTCATGAAGCCTACAAACCTTTACTAATATTCTGCCTTAAATCAGTGGTTTGGAAAGAATCAAATTGCCAAGGTCACATGATTTCAATAAACACAGCTTTGAATGATTCCTGCTGGAGAGTGATGATATTTGACCTCTTTAATATCATAAATCTACATAAATTATGCAGGTTCACTTAGATCACTCTCCAGCAGTGAAGCACAACAAGTTGCATAGATTTTAGAGTATAGTATGAGGAGAATAGTAGAGTATAGTGCAAGGAGTATAGTGTGAGGAGTATAGTAGTGTATAGTGTGAATAGTATAGTAAAGTATAGTGTGAAGAGGAAAGTGTGATTAGTATAGTAGAGTGTAGTGCAAGGAGTATAGTGAAGAGGGCCGTGTAGAGGAGTATTGTAGTATATAGTGTGAGTAGCATAGTGTGAAGAGTATGATTTGGAGCATAGTAGAATATTATGTGAAGAGTACAGTCAAGTATATTGTGGGGAATATAGTGAAGTATAGTAGGATGAGTACAGTCAAATATAGTGTGGGGAGTATAGTGAAGTATAGTGGGACGACTGCAGTGAAGAATAGTGGGATGAGTACAGTCATGTTCAGTGTGGGGAGAATAGTGCAGGGTACAGTCAATTATAGTGTGGGAAGTATAGTAAAGTATAGTGTGGGGAATATATTGAAGTAAGGTGGGATGAGTACAGTCAAGTATAGTGTGGGAAGTATAGTAAAGTATAGTGTGGGGAATATAGTGAAGTAAAGTGGGATGAGTACAGTCAAGTATAGTGTGGGAAGTATAGTAAAGTATAGTGTGGGGAATAAAGTGAAGTATAGTGGAATGAGTACAGTCAAGTATAGTGTGGGAAGTAAAGTTAAGCATTGTAGGATGAGGTCAGTCAAGTATAGCGCAGTATAGTGGGATGAGTACAGTCAAGTATAGAGAAGTATAATAGGATGAGTACAGTAAAGTATAGTGAAGTAAGGTGGGATGAGTACAGTCAAGTATAATGTAGTATAATTGGATGACTTCAGTCAAATATAGTGTGAGGAGTATAGTGAAGTATAGTGGGATGGGTACAGTCAAGTATAGTGTGGGGAGTATTATGAAGTATGGTGGGATGTGTGTGGGAAGTATAGTGGAATGTCTACAGTCAATTATAGTGTGGGGGAATAAAGTGAAGTATAGTTGGATGAGAACAGTAAAGTATAGTGGGATGAGTACAGCCAAGTGTAGTGAAGTATAGTGGGATGAGTGCAGTCTGTTATAGTGGGATGAGTACAGTGGGTTGTGTACATTCAAGTATAGTGAAGTATGGTGGGATGAGTACATTGTAGTGTAGTATGGTTATAGTATAGTAGTAAAGTCTAGTTTGGTATGAATAGTAAAATGAGTACAAAGTATGAGTGGTGAGTATAGTGGGATGAGTACAGTCAAGTATAGTGTGGGGGTATAGTGAAGTATAGTGGGATGAGTACAGTCAAATATAGTGTGGGGGTACAGTGAAGTATAGTGGGATGAGTACAGTCGAGTATAGTGTGGGTATATAGTGAAGTATAGTGGGATGAGTACAGTCAAGTATAGTGTGGGGGTATAGTGGGAAGCGTACAGTCGAGTATAGTGTGGGGGTATAGTGAAGTATAGTGGGATGAGTACAGTCGAGTATAGTGTTGGGGTGTAGTGAAGTATAGTGGGGTGAGTACAGTCGAGTATAGTGTGGGGGTATAGTGAAGTATAGTGGGATGAGTACAGTCAAGTATAGTGTGGGGATATAGTGAAGTATAGTGGGATGAGTACAGTCGAGTATAGTGTGGGGATATAGTGAAGTATAGTGGGATGAGTACAGTCGTATAGTGTGGGGGTATAGTGATGTATAGTGGGATGAGTACAGTTGAGTATAGTGTGGGGGTATAGTGAAGTATAGTGGGATGAGTACAGTCGAGTATAGTGTGGGGGTATAGTGATGTATAGTGGGATGAGTACAGTTGAGTATAGTGTGGGGGTATAGTGAAGTATAGTAGGATGAGTACAGTCGAGTATAGTGTGGGGTTATAGTGAAGTATAGTGGGATGAGTACAGTCGAGTATAGTGTGGGTGTATAGTGAAGTATAGTGGGATGAGTACAGTCGAGTATAGTGTGGGTATATAGTGAAGTATAGTGGGATGAGTACAATCGAGTATAGTGTGGGGGTATAGTGAAGTATAGTGGGATGAGTACAGTCGAGTATAGTGTGGGGGTATAGTGAAGTATAGTGGGATGAGTACAGTCAAGTATAGTGTGGGGATATAGTGAAGTATAGTGGGATGAGTACAGTCGAGTATAGTGTGGGGATATAGTGAAGTATAGTGGGATGAAAACAGTCAAGTATAGTGTGGCGGTGTAGTGAAGTATAGTGGGATGAGTACAGTCGAGCATAGTGTGGCGGTGTAGTGAAGTATAGTAGGATGAGTACAGTCGAGTATAATGTGGGGGTATAGTGAAGTATAGTGGGATGAAAACAGTCGAGTATAGTGTGGGGGTATAGTGAAGTATAGTGGGATGAGTACAGTTAAATATAATGTGGGGGTATTGTGAAGTATAATGGTATACGTATAGTGATGTATGGTGGGATGAGTACAGTCAAGTATAGTGTGGGGAGCGCTGTGGAGTATAGTAAAAGAAGATAAGTGAAGTATAGTCTAAGGAGATAGTAAAGTAGTCTGTATGGAGTACAGCAAAGTATAATGACGTGTGAGGAGCAAAGTAAAGTATTGTGTGATGAGTACAGTGGAGTATATGTTAGTATAATGAAGTATGTGCTTCTCTCTGCAGTCTCCCAGGGTTCAGTGGGAGTGAGGACTGCGTGTCGATGGAGACTCTGCTGGCAGCGTTTGATGAGCAGGATGAGGATGGGGTGTCGCGGGTCTGCAACTCACCACTGCTCAAGTACATGGACAACGACGTGAGTCACACACACCAGCACCAAAACTGAAGAAAATCAAACACAAACAACATTACACTCATGGAACCAGCCATGTGGAAACCAATAGAACAAATAATATTTAAAATACATACAGTGCTCAGCATCAATGAGGACTCCACATTTTGAAAATGAATATTTTTAAGCATTTCTCATGAAAATAGGTCATATTTTTTGGTGCATTTGAACAAAACAGATTTATTAAGTTATATTTATTAAAATAACATTTTAGTCATTAAACACCTTTAGAAATAGAAATCTAATACATTTACATTCATGTGAAATATTGGAAAAACAAATTTCAAACTATAAATTTAATAATTGTTTTTTTCTCTTGTTTTTCTTCTTTTTTTAAAAATTGTTTTGTTTAATATTTTTTCTCTAACATATAAATTTGGGTGTACTCATTTTGGACCGTTATCTTAAGTTATTTTGTTAGATAAGCTCCATCTTTGGCTTCAGCACTGACTAAACTAATGTATGTAAAGCTTTATGTAAAGCTTCCTATTGAAATTCAATAGGAATTAAAAAAAAATCATATTATTAATTTAAATGAGAGATTTGTGAGGGGTGGACTTGTATATGTTGAGCAATGTAACTATGAAGAATTACACTAATAAATGTTTTATGGATTTTTATTTGAAATGTTATAGAACAAAAGGACTCGCAGAGGCTGCAATTATTTGGTGACAAGCACAGTAAAATAAGTAATATTGTAAAATATTCTTACAGTGAAAATTACTATATTAAATACACTGAGCTGTATTTTAAAATGGTCTAAAACTATTTTAAGACATTTTTTAAGACATGATTTATTTTTTAAATGACAAAGCTGAACAGAAATCTCAAAAGAACATCATTTAAATCTGTATACATTAAAAAAAAATAACTATGGTTTAATTATAGTAAACTTACAAATACTTTAAGTATGTAGTTTAAAAATCATCACACATTCCACTGTAAAAAAAAAAACACTCAAACTGACTCAAATTTTCAACAGTAGTTAAATATTTTAACCTTTACTAATGAAATCACTTAAAGCAGTTTTGTTTTATACAAGATGTACAAAAAATAGTGCTGGCAAAAATAAATCGCATGCAAAGTAAAAGTTTGTTTTGACATGACATATGTGTGTGTTTATATATATATATATATATATATATATATATATATATATATATATATATATATATATATATATATATATATATATATATATATATATATATATATATATATATATATATATATATATATATATATATATATATATATATATATATATATATATATATATATATATATATATAGGTAGTGCTGTCGCCTCACAGCAAGAAAGTCGCTGGTTCGATCCTCGGCTCAGTTAACGTTGGAGTTTGCATGTTCTCCGTGGGTTTCCTCCTGGTGCTCCGGTTTCCTCCACAGTCCAAAGACATGCGGTACAGGTGAATTGGGTTGGCTAAATTGTCCGTAGTATATGAGTGTGTGTGTGAATGAGTGTGTGGATGTTTACCTAAGATGGTTTGCAGCTGGATAAGCTGATGGTTTATTCCGGGCGACCCCGGATTAAAAAAGGGACTAAGCCAACAAGAAAATGAATGAATGAATGAATGAATTTTTCTACATGGGACATAAAGAAATGAAACTAATAAACTAAGGGAGACATTTTGAATGTACACTTTAAAAAATATTGTTTAGACCAAACCAAAAAAATTAAACAGAACAGTTTACATCAATATATTAAAGTTACAACAACATCTAACAAAATTAAGTTCAGACAACAAACCTTATTATGTTAGCCAAATGGCCTTTTCCTCTTCAATCAGTGGCACTTTTACATAGCATAAACTCTATTTTTTAAAAAGTTTCGACTACTTTTTTAAAATCAAAATGTAAAATCAATCCAGTGTTACGTACTTAATTCCCATAATTATAAATGTAAGTTTTTAAGTTTAGAGGCTCAAATAAATTAAATAGCTGAAATTGTTAATTGAATGTTTTCAAATTTACTGTTCATTTAGTTGCTTGTAACAAACACATTCAACAACAACATTTTTGTTTTCCAGTATTTTATTATTTGTTTTAAACCACAGTCTTTCAGTATTTTACAAAACAAAAATATGTACTGTCTCATATAAACAGTATGAAAAAAACAAAAACAAAAACAAAAACATCAGCATGTGGACTTAAAAATACAAAACAACATAAAGAGCACAATCTACTCTGAAATAAGTCAAGACTTAAGAAAATAATGTTTTTGAGATGCATTACTTTTCCACTGGGCTTCAGTCCATTAAGTTTGAGAAACAAACTTTACAAGTATATTTAAGTTCCTTGAGGTAGTTCAGATTCAGAGTGTATATCATGCCCATCAGCAGACCACAGCACCTTCAGATATCCATTCCATTTAGGATTCTCATGCCCTTAACTATGGTTTCCATCTTGCGGTTCGATTCCAAAGTAGACTGATTACCAATAATGTAAATTGTCATTACTTGCCTCCTCATTAAGGTCTTCCTCATTAAGGTCCTGCATGCATCCTCATTAAGGTCGTCCTCAAATTCTTGTGTATTCTTGTAAAGCAAAAAAAAAAACTTTTTTGAGTCAAAAAACACTGCTAACGTCAACTGTATTTACCAGGAGTAGCCAACACTCTAGTGGAATGGAGAAAATTGATTTGGAAGTTAAATAAAATTCTGATATCTCACTTTAAAATGTCCTTTGTGCCAAACAGTCTAAACTATGCCTAAAACTTGTCCAGACTTGCTCGACTTCTTGTTCAGAGGGGGAGGAGCTTTGAAATCCAGAACCAAATCCAGAAAAGTTGAATTATCAACCCAATTTCTTTGGGTTGCCACTAGTTAAATATTGTTTCAAACTAACTGACAGACATATTTAGCCTTAAATTAGCTGCATTTTTTAGTTGATGTAATTAAAAATAATTTCTTGTTGTAAAAACTTAATCAAATTATTCTAACAAATTATTCAGACCTCTTGAGTTATTTTTTAGAGTGTAATGTTAGATCAAATTCACAACTGATACATTAATTACCATGTGTGCAACCAAAAATACCACAGTAAAAAAGTCTGGTTAGTTATTTCAGCGTACAGGAAGACATGACGCTGGTGTATGTCTAATGATCCGCCATTATGGGAAGCGCCACCTGGTGGCGGCTGGGTGTACTGTAGCCAAAGCGGTTATCTGCAGTCAGTGTGGAAAACTGATTAATTAAATCAGATCTTTTGTAAATTTAGGTACATATCTTGGCACCTGAGTATGTATCGCGGTCAGAAATAACACTTTAAATGGGCATATATTTTGTCCCAACTCTAATCCACAACTCAACAAACTAAAACGAAAGTCACACAATAATTTCAAGCACTCTTGGGGGCCCCCTGGTGGCCACGGGGCCCTAAACAGCCGCTTAGTTCGCTTATGCCTTGGGCCGGCTCTGCAGGAAGTCATCAAAACCAGACCAGATCCCTACAGTAGATATTTAATTGCTGTACTGTCAGTGAAAGACAAGTGTATATGTTGTTTATCATGTGTCATATTGTGTATTTGTGTGTATTTTGTACAGTTATCCTGCAGTGTGTGAGTTTTTACAGACCAACAACTTGCTGTCGGTCATCAGAGCACATGAGGCGCAGGACGCGGGGTAAGAAAACATCACCTTTGACCCTTTTATGTCATTCCATGTGACTTCTATTTTTTCTCCAGCGCTCTTTCGCTTTCTTCAGAGTGACAGATGCCTCACAAACACACAAAGAGGATGTGTGCATATTCACAGGCTGTTGTTGACGGACAATCAGTGCGCAGATACAGCTGACAGACAGATATTGATTCTCCATAATCCACGTTCATTACAGTGCGGTAGCCTGAAATGCCACCGATTCACATACATTCCCTTCTGCCCAAGCAATTCTATCTGCCTTTGTCTAACGCAGAGCGTGGCTAATTAATAAATCAACTAAACAGCAGTCGATAATGCAGCACAATACTACAAAACAATAATAGCACAGCAGTCGACAACAGAAAGCATGCTTACTGAGTAAATTAGCTCATGGTCTAATACTAATAATATCCATTATGTGTATTCCTCTCGTTTTTCATTGGGATTAATTGATTGTCTTTTTCTTGCTTTCTCAGTTACCGCATGTACAGGAAGAGTCAGACTACAGGTTTCCCTTCTCTCATCACCATCTTCTCGGCTCCAAACTACTTGGACGTTTACAACAACAAAGGTCTGAGTTATTATTTTAGTGCAGCATGTGTACTTTATTATGTCGGAACTGAATTGCATAATGACAATATTACAATATAATATGATAATTTTTTTCCCATCTCATTATGACACAACTTTGTCATAGTATTAGCGAAATTTAAATTTTTTGTCAAATAGTTCTGTTTAAGGGACATTTTTAAAAATGTTTGTTTTAAACATAATAGTTTTGATAGCTGATTTTTAATAGCAAATTTTTCTTATTTATTTATTTCTTTATTATTTTCATTATATTATGCAAGAGGTACACAAATTGAGATCACAAAAGACTTGGGCAACATTGTTAAATAGGATTTAAATAAATAGCTAATAGCTTAAATCATTAAATAATAGCTAATTAAAAAAAACTTAAATGGGCTAATAATATTGACTTTAAATTTAAAAAAATAAATAAATAAAATTAAATGTAAAAACTGCTTTTTATCCAGTCAAACTAAAATAAAAAAATTATAATGACAATAATTAGTAAATCATTAAAAATAACACACATTAATGTTATAATATAGTGTTATAGTTCTAATTATTGATACAATGTATTTATTTTTATTTATAATATATACAGATAATTATTTAGATTATATACAATAATAATATTATTGTTATATCAACTGATATTCCTAAAAGGTCTCTAAAGGATCATTACACTGTTTTTAAAAATGGGCTCATTTTACAGCTCCTCA